TACATATATATGTTATGGAATTAAAAATGGTAAATAATCTCTATAACTCATATCTTAATATTAATAAAAAAATATGTTGTGTTACATTACCAATAACAGAAAAAAAAAAAAAAAACTAAACAAATTTGTTGCCATTAAATCAACAAAAAATATTTTTGGAAAGAAAAGCATGTTTATGTGTGGGAAAAAATGCAAACTTTTAACATTTATTTTTGTACAGAATGTCCCTGTTTTCTTGATTATAGATGATATTTAGTTAAATCTCAGTAAAATAAACAGAAGAACTCTTTTAAACGTGGCCTCCAGCTTCAGAAGTGGTTCCACCTCCAGGTCCTTGTTTACGTGGTCGATGTTTGCTGAGATCGTCTCCAGAGAGACGTCCAGCTGCTGCTCCTTCGTCCCTCAGCGGTGAATCAGATCTACAGCCAGAGACGAGTTGGACGTCTGCTGGATGCAGATGTTCTCCCACCCTGGTCCGACTTGAGCCACTAGCTGCAGGCTAGTTTAGCTGCAGGCTAGTTTAGCTTAGCCTCCACCTGCGCCGTCCTCACCTGTCCGCCGGCGCTAACTAACCACGTTTGCTCCTGTTGTGGAATAAAAACCTCTTCCTGGATCTGCATTAGCATTCAGGCGTCGCCCAGACAGACTCCGGCTCCATCAGGGATCAGCTGGGAGGAGGCTGGCAGATTCCTGTCTGTTCATTTATTTATTTTCTATAAACGAAGCACCTCCTTTTCTTTCATTCTTTTATAAAATCAGTGCCCAGCGGAGTGAGAAACAGGACGATCCCGTTGGGAAATCAGGCCTCGTCTGTAGCTGACCGCCGTGTTTGGATGCAGGGATCGTGTTTGGTTAATAAACCGACACGTGGTCTCCGTGTAGACGCTGTCTGCTCCCGAGTCTGGCACCGGGTCGGTCGGGTAATGACGCCGGAGTTCCTGCAGGAGTCCAGATGTGAGCTGGGAATGTGCACATCTGTTCAGCTGACATGTGCTTGCAGGATGTTAAATCTTCTGGAGCTGCTTCCCCACATTCATACATTCATAGAGCGACGCGTTAGATCAGCTCGTCGTTATTAGCGTCAGTGTTTGTGGAGTTACAGAAAATGGATGTTTCAGACACTCACTCGTTAGTTTTAATATCAATTTAAATCAGATTGTAGTCTTTATTCCTTTACATCTCATTTGTTCCTCCAGAAATCGAACCATCCTTCCCAATTTTCTTACAAAAAATACAGTAAAATAAAATTAGATGCACAAGCTTTTAGGTTTTTGCACGTTTTATTGGTTTCTGATACTTATTAATAAAATAGATGGTGACTCTACATGTTTTAATGTGTTTCTGCACTAAACACAGGCTGCAGTTCAGCCCAAAACTCAGGTTGTTTTTTTTTGTCACAAGGCCGTTAGTCACAGCGAAGTCACTCGTCGCTTCTTATTTAAAGGAGTGCAGATTTATTTTTTATTTTTATTTAACTTTTTTTTTTAAAACAGAATCTGGTCAAAACAAATCATTAATTTTGGCTGATTAAAGTGATTTTGATGGGGAAAAAAATTAACTTTATTTTTATTTTATTTTATTATTTTTTTAAATGACTTTTTTCCCGTTTTGTTGAGTTACAAATGTTAACCGGTACAATCACAGAAAGACAATAAATTAACTCGTTAAGCTTCTTAAACATGAGCAACTCAACATTTAATCATTATTTCACCAATATTTGCTGAATCATAATTTATAACAACAGTTCAATTAAAAAAAAAAAAAAAAAACAAAAGCAAGAAAAAGAAACAAATAAATATTAACAATAAGAATGAACAAAACCAGATTGCTCCTGTTTTATTAAATTGCAAGTAATATCTAGTAAAATTACAACAACAAAAAAAGATTCATTTACATGATGACTGCAAAATAAATAAATAAAGGTTCTAACTTTACTTAAAAAAAAAATTTAAAATAAAAAATCTAGATTTTTGCCAATGGTATTTACTTGTTGGTTTTTTTTGCAACATTACTGCATGTAAATTAGATAGAAATGTTGTTTCACACACATTTCTTTATAATTTCCACCATTTTTAGAACTTTAAACGTCAGTGTTGGACCATTTTTAACATAGTTTTCTTTTACTTTTACAGGGAATTATTTAATTTGCAGTGTGGATTTGCTGAACTTTTCCACTCTTTGTGTTTTTTACAGCTTCTGGCTCTGATAAACGCTCTAATTCTGGTGTTTTTTATAGACCACACGTCCTTGAAGCCTTTTTAAGGGTTTCGGGGTTCTGGGGGTTAAACCAGGCGCCGGTTCTGGCGTCCTGTTTACCTCCATGTTGCCAAGGAAGTCGTTGATTCTGCTGATTCTGCTGGTTCTGCCTCCTGCTCCGGTCCAAGCATCCCGGAGTGCTCTCGGCTTTTATGGACTGATGTAAATTGTCTTTGATGGCTTCGGCGGGAGAACCGTTGATTCTTATCTCCGCCGTAAAGCCGCAAATTTACTGTCGGCGGAAGAGTTTGTTGTTTTTTTTTTTTAGTGCTCAGAACAGAACCGGCTGTGGAGGCGAATTACCGCGAGGAGGGAAAAAAAAGGGGGAAATTATCTAAAAGCAACGGTGGAGGTCGTCCACTGGGCCGAGCTTTGATTGAATTCTTGTGGCGCTGGTCTCCAGCACCTGTGGCCCCCTTGTTGTTGGCCCGCTCACTTTGTTTCACTTTGTTGCCCGCCTGAAATGAAGCAGCGCGGGAGGCGTTCTAGATTGATTCCCGCTGACTAATTCATGATTCATATCTGCCACCTGTGGCTCCGGCGTCGAGCTTTGTGAGCTGCGCTTCACCCCCAGAAGCACAATCCTCCATTTTAGGGCTATTTCTACCATTGATTGTTTGTTTTTTGATCATTTAAACATGAATCAAACACCAAAATGGCAGCAAAGAGGTGATTTCCAGATGCTAACGTCCACTTCCTGTCCTGCAGAACACGGACCCGGTGCACGACATGCTGCTGGACGTCATCACCTGGGTGGGCATCCTGCTGTCGCTGGTCTGCCTCCTCATCAGCCTCTTCACCTTCTGCTTCTTCCGCGGCCTCCAGAGCGACCGGAACACCATCCACAAGAACCTGTGCATCAGCCTGTTCATCGCCGAGTCGCTGTTCCTGGTGGGCATCAACCGGGGGGACCAGCCGGTAAGGACGTTTGTTAAAGACGAGGAAAAACCAAAAGTATACACGGCGGTTAGATCGGTGAGCTTCAGAGGTGACAGGAGGAGGGTTTAGTTGGAGGTTAGTTGACTCGTCTTGTGTGAAATCAACCAAATCTGGAGGAAAAAGTCCAACCTGACCTCCTCAGAATGAGCTGGTCTCGTTACCTACAGTAACTTTAGTCTATTTAATGCAGCTGTGCAGAGTTTAACCTTCATTCTGTGAATAGTTTCAGACTTACATCCTCTTAAAGTCCATAGTTTGGGTCAAAATGTCACAAGTTTTTAAATTTGGGTTTCTTTTTCCATCATTTCTGACAGACTAATTAAACTCTGAGGAATACAAAACATGCAGCCAAATCAGTTTTACACCCGCTGCAGGTGTTTTTTCTGTAAAGTTTGAACATCAATATTATGGGATGCATCACGGTTTGAACAGTAAAACTAATTCACCAGAGAAAACTTTAATAAAAAGTGCATTCTGGGTAAACTTCAGTCCAAGTTCGAGCAAATGAAAGGTCTCGTTTTTAGCTGCGGTTTGACACCAGGGTCACCTTCTAGACGCGAGTCATTGAAACAATGTTTAATAGAGGAATATTTTGGAAAATATTAATTACACGGCTTCATTAGATATACTCAAGTTATTGTGGGAGAACAAGTGGGAGGCAATGATTGATTTTTCATTTAAAAGCAGCAGCTTTCACCTAAATCTTTTAACCTTTTTGCTCAAAATAACCACAAAACACCCCAAGTTATTAATAATATTGTTATGCTAATGCTAATAATGCTAATAGTATGAATAATCATACAAGGTGCTTTACAGAAAAGGCAAAAATGAAAAGAGTTGTGCTCAGTTCAGACATACGGAGAAGAGAAGGTGGAAAACTAGAGTTAAACATGGTGAAAGATTTTCAAAATAAAACAATATGGCGACACCAGATTAAGAAAATAAAATAAAATAAATGTCACATCCGAATATGGGAAAAAAAATAATTAAAAAGGAGAATAGAAGCATAAAGACGAGGCCATAAATAATGGTAATAATGGTGGTAATGATAAATAAGATGAATAAATGAATGAGAAACAGTCAAACTTTGCCTTTAAAGTGAAACATTAGAGTCACGGATTTAAACCAATAAATCATCTGATCAATAAATTCAGTGACTTTAAAAGTGCAGATATGTGTTATTGGGTCGTGCCGTCCTTTATCTTCCAGTCCAGACTCGTAGCGGTGAGTCGGGTCGGGCTCCACTCGGAGCGTCCGGGCTGACGGATGTCCGGCGTCGTCTCTCAGCGTCTCAGAGCCTGAAATGTTTTGACAAAACACAACCTTCGGCGTCCCGCTGAGCCCAGAGTGCTGCTTCCCGGCGAGCGTCGGCGCACTTTCCAGACTCTCTGAGACGAGGCGCCGCCGGAGAAAAAAGAAAGAATTGGATGTTCTTTATTCAACAAATGCTGCCTCCCGCGGCGGCGCCGGAGCAAACACCTACTTGAGAGTGCGCTCACATCGCGACACACCTGCCAGCTCGCCGTCATCGCCGCCGCCGTATTAAGTTCAGCCGCCGCCTGTTGCAGTTTTTCAATTTGCAAACACTTGAGACTAATCTGGATTAAGCTGTTCAATACACTGAACCTCCTTCTAGTGGAATAGCTGCAGTTTGGATGGCGTTGCCTTCTCATGAGAGCTCAGCTGTGGCGGCAGGTGGAGGCCTGCTGCCGACGGTGACTCGTGAATGTGGAGTCGATGCTCGTGTGCAGGTCGGCAGAGGCCCCTTTTTATTTAAACTCAGTGTGATCGTGTCATTTGTAAGCAGGCAGAGTTCATGGACGGCTTTCACTCTGGACCACACATCACAGCCAATAGTCTTTATAATATTGTGTTTGTTATTGTATTGTTCTGCACAAACGTCATCGTGATTCATATCAAGTTAACTCAGAAAGGTGGAGTTACTGAATTGTCTGTTTATTTTTGGTGAATTTTTAAACAAGACGTGTTTTGATTTTTGGTGAAATGTCAAAATCTGAATCTGTTTGAAAAAAGAAAAGAAAAAAAGAACAATGTACATATTTTAAATAATTATCAGATATTTTTTTTTGTTAAATTGCAGTTAAATAAGTGGCAAAATCATTTTTTTAAAAAAAAGATAATTTACTTGTGAACCGGAAAAAATATTTGTACAAGTTGCCATAAAATCCCAGTTTCACTGTTTTTAAGTTAGAAAGAAAAATACTATAATTGTTTACAGATTATTGCCAATATTTGAGAGAAAATTAGTGATTGTTAAGGATTGAAAATGGTTAAAAATGATAATAATAAAAATAAATAAATACATGAAGTAATAAAAATGAATCAATAAAAAAAAACTGATTGTTGTTAAATTACAGATAATATCTGGTAAAATCACAGCAGAAAAAAAAACAAGAAAAAAGTGTTAATTTATTTGTTGAGCCTAAAAATCAGGCTAAAACTCTACATCATGTAAACATGTCAAAAAAAACAACAACACAGTTTTCCTGTATTTAAAACTGCAAAACAAACTTTAAAAATATGTTATTTACATGATATTTGCCATCATTTGAAAACAATATTATGAATATTAAGGATTGAAAAATGGTAAATGTTGAATTTTTATTTTCTTGATTGTCCCTGTTTTGTTAAATTCTAGATCAGATCTTTATAAATCACAGAAAATATGTTTTAATTTACAAGAAAAACCACATCTTCCCTCACATCATCCTAAACATACCGTTACTGGTGCGTCCTGATGACCATGAACTCCTCACAGAGGACCGACCGTCCTACGTTTTACCTGCAGGCCGTTAAAGCTCACTGACATGTTGCTCTTTAAATATCATCATAACCATCAACTAAAAGCCGCCGTCCGTGGTGTAGCGGCCGAGCTAACTCCCTGTGAAGCCAAAGATCATCCTCCTCCTCCCATAACGTTTTATGGGCGTGACTCTCCTGGACCACTCAGGCTTCTGGTCGTTTAATTGAGTCCATTTTAGTGACCAGTTATGTTCAACTGTGCCAGTAACGACGTCAGCCCGTGTTCCTTACGACTGTTGGAGGTCTGCTGTGTTCGCTGTCCGTCGCCGCTCTTCATGTCTCGGTTTGGTCGCTGCCAGCAAACAGGAGCACATGTGCTGGGAGGTGACGCTGCAGGCAAACGTCCACTGATTGTAAAAAAGAAAAAATGTCTGAAAATTATTTTGAGAAACAAACCAAAACTGTACATAACATCTGCATCAAAAATCGATATTTTTTTAAAAAATTATTATTATTATTGTTATTAATAATAATAATAATAATAATAATAATAATAATAATGATAATAATAATAATGATAATAATAATAATAATAATAATGTTTATGATGCTATAAAAAATACACAGTTTTATTGTTTTTATTTTATTCTATTCTATTCTATTTTATTTTATGTTATTTTATCATTTTTAGGGCTTTTTCCCCCATTTTCAGGTTTGAAAATTTGTGAAATAAACAAATAAACAGATTTCCCGTTTTATTAAATCATAAACAATATCTAGTGAAATCAGAGAAAAAAATGATTAAATTACACATTTTTTTATTGCATATAAATCAGAAAAATTAGAATATTTTCACAGATGCTTGCCTTTATTTAATTATTAATTATAGATTTATTTTTATGTGGCATAATTTCATAAAATTATGCCCTTTTACTGTATTTTCAGTCTAAGTCAGCAAAAAAATCCATGATTTTCTAGATATTAACCACGATTTGAAAGAAAAACGTGTATATTAAGGTTTTAAAATGGTTAATCATCCTTCTGTTATTTTTTTCCAGTATTTTCCTGTTTCTGTTCACCGTTAACTCTCCCGTCTGTCCGTCCCAGATTGCCTGCGCCGTCTTCGCCGCCCTGCTGCACTTCTTCTTCCTGGCGGCGTTCACCTGGATGTTCCTGGAGGGCGTGCAGCTCTACATCATGCTGGTGGAGGTGTTCGAGAGCGAGCACTCGCGCCGCCGCTACTTCTACCTGGTGGGATACGGGGTTCCCGCGCTCATCGTGGCCGTCTCGGCCGCCGTGGACTACCGGAGCTACGGCACCGACCGAGTGTGAGTAGAACCGGCTTCACGGTCCAAACGAACTCTGATACACTACAGTCAGTAGGGCGACGTTGTGCTGAATGTTACTCAGCTAAAAAAAAAAAAAAACAGTGAAGCTTTTGAGCATGTTTTTATAGTTTAAACTGCTTCATTTTACAAAAAACTGCTTTTTAAACTCGAGGCACAAAGTTTAAAAGATGCTTTTCCTCTACCTGTAAAATAAAAATTCACAAATCATTTAGCATTTTTCAGTCTTTTGTATATTTTTCTTTCAAATAACAGCTAATAGCTATAAAGTAATAATGTTTTTGGCTTATTTACGTGCAGTAAAAAGACCTAAAATTTACACTGAACTGTAAAATCACAGTTATTATCTGTTTTCTAACCCAAAAAAGGGAAAATCTAAACTATTTTTGCACGTTCAACCCTTAAAAACATATTATTTATTTAAAAGAAATGGCACATAGCGCTACTTGATGCTGATTTAAATGCAGCTTTTTCAGAAAAAGGTAATTTTACTGTAAAATGTTGATAAAAAGAAGATTTATCATCAACAAAAATGCAGATTGTAATGATATTTACAGTTTTTTTTAATGTGGTTTTACTCGATATCGTCATGAAGTTTAAAAGATGTTTTCCTGCAGTTTATAGAAAATGTAGAATTCAACGTTTATGCAGTAGTGATCAAAACATTTGCAAATATTTACCTATTAGTCGATTCCCGTACCTGTTGAGTGTCCCACAACGACGTAAAAACTCACCGACTCCTTCGTAGGGTTCAGGGAAACCGTCGGATCAGATGTTTTGCTGTTAATACCAAACGGACAGAGCTGTGAAAGTGGAACGTAAAGTGATTAAATGCGTATTACGGCCGCAGAAAGCAGCAAACAGCTTGAAAACCATGTTGGTCGGAGACTTTAATAATCTCCCCGATAGCCATCGCTCATCATCGAGTTTTAATGAAGCGGAACGGTTACTGGAGCTGCGTTCGTTTCCTCTGACAGTGAAAACTGTTGCTGCACGAACGTCAGACTGTTGTGGTTCGAGTTTTGAAGACGCAAAAGACGGGGAGCTGCCTTTTTGTGTTTCCCACCGACGTAAGATATGATTTCCCATCTGGGATCGGTCTCGGTTAATCTGGAGCCCATCTGAAAGCAATGAAGACCAGTTTGCTGCTCAGATGTTTATCACACGAGGCTGCGCTCGGACGGCCGACGGCCGCGGACCGACGGCGCAACAGTTCGGGGTGATGGATGAGGCGATGGCTGCCACCGCCTGAGCCGTGGCATCATGTGAATAATTAAAGGCTGCCACCGGTGGAACAATTATTACGCCACCGTTGAGGGATGAGGGAAGGGACGAGGCGTGACGCCCGGCCAACAGCGGAAGGTTGGGGGAGGGCGCCGAGTCCAGCCGGCAAATTGATTTCTGGTGCTTTAGCCGGAGATGTCATGGGCGGCGTCGGATGATGTCCAACGGCGACCCAAGTGCACCAGATGAATGAGGAAAAAAATAAAAGGTCAGCTAGCTTCTGAAGTCAAACAGTTCACACCTGAATCTGAGTTGGGTTTTTCCCACCGATTACTCTAAATGTGCCCTTAAAGGAGACGAGGATCTTCCTCCTTCCTGTGGTCCAGCGTGTAATTCCTCCAGTTTAATGAAAGCAATACATCAAAGCACCTGTAAACTTGTAGTTTCGCTAATCCAGTTACCGATACAGTCACCTCAGAGTGTGGCGGTGGAGTTCTTGTAAATATTTAAAGCAGACGCCAGCATTGGGTGTGTTAGTAAGATGTATGGCCACCACATGCTGCAAGAACAACCTCCATGTGTCTTTGTGGAGCTCAACTGGAGGGATGAACTCAATCTGGTGTTCTGATGATGGTGGAGAGTGTTGTTGGGCCAGAATCTCCCAGCTGGGTTGGTGATCCAAAGTCCTGTAGCCTCTAAGTCACTTTATTTAGCCTCCATGAAGGACCCAACACCATCAGCGAGCCGCTAGATCTGGATCTTCCCACTGTAGGGGTCAAGAGTTCAGGTTCAAGAGTTCAAGAAGAAGTGGAACACACTCTGTTTGGTTCTACTTGGTATCAGCCAGAAGTTGGACATTTCAGAGGAACTGCGAGTCAAAGGGTGACGTGATTGATGGGAGTCGCTGGGTTTAGCGCTGCTGCTAGCAAGCTGACGGGCCAGCAGGTGAGCTAGCGCTGCAGAGCCGTGGATTCGCTCCAAAAACAATGTTTGAGCTCCACAAAATGCACGTAAATAAATAACTGAATAGTGTGCATCAGCCTTTTTTGAGTTGAGACAATTTTGAATGAAATTATGCCAACTAACTGTTTTGAGTTTTGGGAATTAGCTTCATTAAATTACTGCTTAGCTCATGATTAGTAGCATGAACACAACTCCTAAAAAGTAAGTAGTTCAAACTAGTTTTTCCTCGTTCTTTAAAAGGATTTTTTGTGTGTTTTGTGTTTAAATACCATCATTGTTAAAACACACATAACTTGACAAACGTATCCATCCATATATTGTTTTATTTTGAATGAAGATTAGTTGAATATAAGTCTGGATTTCTACTTCTTGTTGTTCTTGCCGTAGCATTTATTTCTCAAGCGCGGCTGTGTGATGCACTCCTGAGCTTCTTTCTGCACAGATAAGTGAGGAATCGTAGAAAATGCTTTGCCTTTGATTGTCCATGTGTTACACTTGACCCACGCCTCGGAGGTCACAGCAATCCGTCAAGAGTCTCTCGTAGGTGTTCTTCTTCTATTTTCCTGCCTTTTGCTGGCACGTTGCTGTGTAGCCGGCCATTGTGTCCGATGGCAGCAATTTGTATCGCTGGCAAAGCGCAACATGCAAACAAAACGTTGCTGCCTGAGGATCGTAAGTTAATGTTCCCACACATAACGGCGTCAGTTATTGACAAAAGTTTGTACACGTCTATAGAGACCATGTGGCCCAAGTGAAGGTTGCTGCTGATCACGTGGACAAAGAAAAAGCCTTCTGGAGGAACATTCTGTGGTCAGATGG